GAGGCAGATACGGGGGAGACGGCTCTGTGAGGACAGAGGCAGATACGGGGGAGACGGCTCTGTGAGGACAGAGGCGGATACGGGGGTGATGCTTCCACAAGCGAAGGGCCCAGGATGCTGGCCACCACCAGGAGCAGTGAGAAGCCTGGCAGATGCCCCTCGGCCTCAGAGGGACCCAGCCCCGCCCACACCTTCATCGCGGACGTGCGGCCCCAGAGCTGACAGAATGAATCTCTGTCACGGCAGCGTTGTCTGCTGTGCCCAAGTCACTGGTCACTGGGTCACAGACCCCTGCGAGGCCAGGCAAGACTCTGCCTCAAAACAAAGCAAAACAAAACAAAACACGGTGTCCACTGTGAACACAGTGACAACAGAGTCTGCACCATAAGAAGGTACAGGGTCAATGGTTTGTCACAAGGGAACACCTGGTGAGGACCGGCTGGGGGCACTGCTCAGGGCAGCCTGGGCACAGGTGGCAGGAGGACTCGGGTCCCACACACTCTGCGGTGACCAGAAAGGCCTGAACTTCCCCAGCGCCAACCTGGGGCCCTTAGCCACCATCGTGCCTTCCTGCCACCAGGGTTAACACCCAACTAGGAACTTACACTTTTCATTTTCCTGGGACAAAAACCCCATCTCCACTTCACAGATGAGAAAACCAGGCCTCTACCCGCTGGCTCTGTGGACATCGGGGTCGGACCGTTCTCTGGGGTGGGGCCGTCCTGGGCACTGCAGGGTGCTGAGCAGCGTCCCTGGCCTCCACCCACTCCCTGCCGGGAGCACCCTCAGTTGCGACAACCACAGATGTTCCCAGACATCACCCAGTGTCCCTTGGGGTTAAGATTAGATCGCTCTGGTGAGATCGTGGCTCAGAAGATGATGACTGACTCTATAGCCGTGTCTGACACCACACAGCTAGTGGGTGGATCGGCCGGGGCTCGAACCCTGGCCTCTGTGGGTGAAGCCACCGCTGTTTCTGCCCCACAACTCCCTGAATTCAGCAACTCTCGGGGACGCGGGCAGCCGTCTGATCACGAACCTAGTGACACACGCTTCCCGGGCCAGGGCTGCGCCACCATGGGGCCCCTCCACTGCCCAGCAGAGCCACGTGGATGCTCCGAGTCCAGGGGCTGCTGACCCGTCCTGGTTTTGCTGGGGGCACAACCCCAGGGTGAGCACACAGGTACCCCGCTGCTTGCTTCTATTTTTAGAGAGGTTCTCGCTCTGCTGCCCAGGTTGGAGTGCAGGGGCGGGATCACGGCTCACACTTCAGCCTGGACCTCCTGGCTCAAGGGATCCTCTTGCCTCAGCCTGCTGAGTAGCTGGGAGCACGGGCACTCACCGCCATAATATTTCATAATTTTTTCACCACCAGTTAATTTTTTTTTTTTGTACAGACAGGACCTCACTATGTTGCTAGGCTGGTCTTGAGAACTCCTGGACTCAAGCGATCCTTCTACCTTAGCTGCTCAAGGTGCCAGGATCACTGGCGTGAGCCACTGTGCCTGGCCACCCCCGCCCACTTCCCAAGGAAGCAGCGATCCCACAGCCGAGTCTCAGACCCTCCCTGGGAAGCGCCTGATTCAAAGAGGCCACCTCTGTGCTTACGGTATCCCCCTGGGGCTGGGGAGCCCAGGACGCATACATGCTGGGGCTGAGCAGGTGGGAGCCATTGGTGGGGACCTGAGGCCCTTCCCCATTGATGGCTCAGCACCCCAGAGGCCAGCACCTGCCCCGGTGATGAGCTCTGCAAACCACACCTGCCCTCAGGCCACACCGCCTACTGCACAAGATCAACAAATCCCCTCCGGAGAAGGGAAATGGCGGCCACCTCCAGGCCACGGCCCACCTGGCGCTGAGCGAGATGCTCCTCTGCACCGGGGATCAATCACCTCCGTCCCCACACGCCTGTCTAGATGGGGCGAGTGCAGGCCTCACTTTACCAGAGAGGAAACCGCACAGGCGAGCGCATCCCCGTCCACCCAGCCAGGCCCACTCGCCTCCCTCCTCCCCATTTCCACTTCAGGTCTGGGCCGACTCACAGCTGACTTCCCAACACCAGCAGAAATCACAGCACAGAGCAAAACCCAATCTGCCACGGCCCGGTGCTGCCCTTTGGGGATTTCAGGGTCTCCCGTGCCAATTTGGGGGCTCAGCTTCCAACCATGCCACCTGGTTGGGCAGGCGGGGCTTTCCAGCAGTGGTATGGTAGCCCTGGGCTGACTGCAGCCACAGGAGGAGACGCCTACCCGGGCTGCGCCTCAGGGAGAAAGTGGCTGTTCCCACAGGCCCCTGCTTGTCTTTTTAAAACTGTTTGTAGAGATAGGGTCTCACTACGCTGCCCAGGCTGGTCTCGAACTCCTGGTCTCAAGTGAGTTCTGCCTCGGCTTCCCAAAGCCTCTCCTCCTACTGCCTCGGCTTCCCAAAGTGCTGGGATTACAGGCGTGAGCCACCATGCCTGGCCGAGGCTTCTCTTTTTCTATATCCCTTTACACTTCTCTACCAGACTCATGCCAAAGACAGTTAGTTCCAGAAAACAAGACAGGGCAGCCCAAAGAGTTTGTAAACTCCCTCTCGGCATGTCTGTCTCCTTTCAGAAGGTGACGGGTGTGGGGCGAAGGGGCTCATGCGTCTAATCCCTGCACTTAGGGAGGCCAAGGTGGGTGGATCAGTTGAGGTCAGGAGTTTGAGACCAGCCTGGCCAACATGGTGAAACCCCATCTCCACTGAAAATACAAAACACTAGCCGGGTATGGTGGCGTGTGCCTATAATCACAGCTACTCAGGAGGCTGAGACAGGAGAATCGCTTGAACCC